TCCCTCCCTCCCTCTCTCTCTCTCTCTCTCTCTCTCTCTCTCTCTGTCATATTGATTAAAGAAAATGCTTAGCTTGTGGCATATCTAGCTAAACACAGCGACAGCCAGGATAGACTTGACCACGAACAGCCAAAATTGCTTTAGAAATAACAATCGAGGAGGAGCATGTAAGGAAGGAAAAAGTCTTTAAAAGGCCTCTATTCAATTATTTTCTTTCTTCTGAGTCTTGAAAAAACACAATATAACCATTTCTTTTTCCAAATGATCTCACAGTTATGTATTGAGGAGAAATACCAAGTGCTTATTATTTATTATTTGATAGATGCTTCTTCTGGCTTGATTCATGTCTGTGTCAGTCTTCCCGGGACTAAGGGACAGTAGAACAAAGCTATATCCCGAGTGTTATGTTGGTATCAGAACAATTCCTGTGCAGAAGGGGGCTATACAACCTTCCTTATTCCCTCCTCGCAGACGTCCTTGAGTCCTTGAGACGGATGTGAGTGGAGTTTTTCAGCCTTCATGCAAAACAACCATCTAAACATAACAGATGACATCAGCTTGAGCTTTTCAATTCCTGGATGGCAGCGGCATGTTAATCCCAGCCTTCATCCTGGATTTCATAAACTAAAACAAGAGAGGCTGGCAGGAGCTCAGCGCTGCCGCTGGGTTGAGGAAATTGATGACGGGGAAGCATGCGGGCAACGCAGTGTATAAAACTCATAAACGTGTAGGCAGAAGCTCAGCTACTACTTTGGACGGCTGCTTCCCGCCAGCAAAGACCACGACGGCAGGGAGCTGAGCCCCAGCCAGCTGGGAGTCATGAAGAGCCTCTTGCTGCTGACCACGCTCCTGGTACCTGCGCACCTGGCTATGGCCTGGAGCGCCAAGTACGCGGTGGATTGCCCAGATCAGTGTGACAACAGTGAGTGCAGAAGTAGCCTGCGTTGCAAGAGGACAGTGCTGGATGACTGTGGCTGCTGTCAGGTGTGCGCCGCGGGGCCCGGAGAAACCTGCTACCGTACAGTCTCAGGCATGGACGGCGTCAAGTGTGGTCCGGGGCTGAAATGTCACTTTTACAGTGAGGAGGATGATTTTGGCGACGAGTTCGGTATTTGCAAAGGTAAAGAACAACCCCTTGCTTCCCACTGTGCAGGGCTCCCTCAGGGTCATTTAGTCAGCTTGGAAGGTAAGTTCCTCCTCTTTCCTCCCGACCTACCAGGGAAGAAGATGCTGGAGGTGTGCTTGGAAGAGAGGGAATTGTATCTGCAGGAAGGCTGGGCATGCAGCGTGCAGGAATCACAGCAAGGGTTGCTGCATTCCACCCTGCATTTAGATTCAAGAAAGAAGGTTGCAGGGGTAGCCTGTGTGGTTTCCTTTTCTGGAAGGCTTTAGAAACTTGACAGGTACTCTGTTCCAAATGGTGTAGGTGTCCTTTTCTCTGCGAGTCAATGATTACAGAGGTCCTCCTGAGATAACCTCGTGGAGTGGTTTCCAGTCGCAGATTTAACCAGCCTTTGATCTTGAAAAGAGTTCGCAGGGAGGAGTGCCTCTCTCAAGCTGAACTATTTCTGGTGAACACCAACGTGCTTTATGGTGTAGGGTGGGCTTAAGTCAGTCCAAGAAATAACTCACGCTCTTGCAAGAGGGTCCCCTGAAGTATAAAATAAACCTAATTTTATTTGAAAAAATTTTCACTTGGCCAGAAAATTGCAGATGTTGTAAGACAGGCAGAAATAATAAAAGTCTAGAAGCCTGTTTGAAAAATAAAGTGGCTATTTTATAGATTAAAAAAAATGAAATTATGATTAAGACAGAAATCATAGCTAAATGATGCATTGATGCATCTGTAGAATTTATCTCCAAACTTAGTCACTAAATTAATATTTTTGAATGTATAAAAGTAAAAGAAGTGGTTGCTAAAAAGTCTCCCATACATAGATGCCGTATGATCTCATCTTTATGTGCTATTGTGATTAAAAGCAATGCATTGTTGAATTTTATCCAGTAGTATAATACTAAGAAGCTGCCCAAATCGGAAAAATATGTTCTGAGAAATTTCTAAGTAACTCATATTCTATATGTTCAATAAATCACATCTTTTCCTGAATGAAACTCATGCAGGATTGAGGCGATCTCATCCATTTTCATTGTAGAAAAGAGTTTATAAAGTCATCATCCTTTAGTCTGCAAAACCTTCCAGAAGGAAACTCTAGAAAGATTTGGAATTTTTTATTCTTTGGCTTATAGTATTTTTGATTAAGACCGACAAAAGGCGGGCTGCCGAGGAAATATATTCTTTGGTGAACACACTTATACACATTTCTTTCAACTGAATAGGCTCTGAGTTTTCTGGAAATTATAGGGCTTCTCTGCCAAGAAAACAGCACCTCACATAAGAAAATTAGGGAGGACGTGGTTAGCCCCGTCTTCCCTATGATATAACGAGTGTTATGTAGGGGAGCCGCTTTTCCTTTGGCATAAAAATACCTCTGTAAATGAGGTTATGAATGGACAGTGACCTCGGTGAGGTGGAGGTTAGTGAATTACGATGTGAGCAGTCTATTCTGAATTGCTCTTTCTGGCATCCTCTGCACTGCTGCCGAGTTCAGTTTCAAGCTGTTTTTTTTTTTTTTTTTCTCCTGGAAACAGTAGAGCATGTGGGTTCTTCTCTATTGCTGCACGTGAATTCCACATTTTGTTTGTTTGTTTAGCATTTAGATGTCTGGCCCCATGTGGCTGGCTAGCTAGTGAGCAGCCAACACTTATTTATAGAATGTTTACTCTCTGACCAGCCCATCGGGGGTTGCCCTGGACCTGGAGCTGGGAAGTAGGCTAAGGTTTTTATTTTCAGCATTGCTGAAGACAGTCACATCCTGACCCTGTGCTTTTCTGCCAGAAAAGTTTTTCAGATCTGTCTTAAGGACTTTTCTTCCCAGGGTAAGGAGGGTGTATAGCAGTAGAGCCTTCTATCCTTCGAGTGACAGGGAAAATATCCATGCTGTCTCCTTAAAGACCTGTTTCATGCACATCCATCTTGACCATCCAAGGCACTGCTGAGGGCTAGACACTCCATTCCTTACAACTTGTCTTGATGCATGCATGATTGTGGATGCAATCCACACTGGCAAGGACACCTCCATGCTGAAAGAATACATCTTCTGCAGGGGTTCCCAACCTTCCTAATGCTGTGAGCCTTTAACACAGTTCCTAATATTGTGCTGACCCCAGCCTTAAAATTATTTTTGTTGCTACTTCATAACTACAATTTTGCTATTGTTATGAATCGCAATGTAAATATTTTTTGGAACTAGAGGTTTGCCAAAGGGGGTCACGACACACAGGTTGAGAACCAGCGTCCTGAGTTAACCTTGTGAGATGCTGTTATGCTACAAACCCTGCTCTTTTACTTCACTGTAGCATTTCTTAGTCTAAGGATTAAACACTAACTCTCTGAAAGGTTCTGGGCTTTGGTATGTGTGCAAGCCCCCAGGTGTGTAAATCCCAAGGTTTCTTGCTTACGTAGTATTTTATCTTGTCAGGGAGCTTGATTAATGAATCCTTTTAACAACTGGGGGAGTTAGTGAAGCCCTAGCACTGTCCTGAGAGAAAGGAGCTTTGTAAGTGTGGGAGTAGGGAGTTGGTTATTTTGTGGTCAGGTGGGCTGACAAGCCTCTTAGCCCTTTAAAATAATAAACTGTCAACTGCTGTAGTTTAAAGATACCCTCACACCTATCACACTTTTCGAGGAGCTAATACTTATGTGTCTTCTATTTCCCATCTTCACTGAGCTGTGACCAAAATAATCTGTGAGAATCTGTGTTATCTACGAAGAAAGCAAATAGACTTGTCGAAGGGTGGGGTTGCCAAGAAGCCTCAGTGGGTAAAGGCACCTGCTGTCAATACTGAAAACCCCAGGGTGAGCCCCATGACCCACAGTGGAAGGAGAGAACCAGCTCAACAAGCTGTGCTCTGATTTCCACACATGTGCTGCACAAGTGCACACACATACATACACACATGCCGGCACACACACATATGCCACATATGCACACACACACACACACACATGCACATACACAGAGGCACACACAAACACGTGAACTCCCGAACACACATGCAGTTGCGCACACACATGCATGCATATGTGCCTGCACACACAGAGACACACACACACTCTCTGAACAAATAAAAGAAAGAAAGAAAGAAAGAAAGGAAGGAAGGAAGGAAGGAAGGAAGGAAGGAAGGAAGGAAGAAAGAAAGAAAGAAAGAAAGAAAGAAAGAAAGAAAGAAAGAAAGAGAGGAAAGTATTGCTAAAAGTCTAGTATAAGGAGATTGGTTAGATGTAGCTTATTTAAGTTTCGCACCAGGAGCTGAAGCCTGAAGCAGGTGTTATCTAGCCTTACTATGTGGTTTTACATTTATGACTTTAACTTTCAAACCCTGGAGTTTTTGAGAAGTGATCTTCGTTTATCAGTTAAAGTCAGGAGATTGATTCAAATCCTAAGGCTGTCACTCAGGGGTGGGAGGGGAAGCCTATGCATAACAAGCAGTAATCTCTTTAACCCCCTCTCTGCCCTCAGACTGTCCCTATGGCACTTGGGGAATGGAATGCAAAGAGACTTGCAATTGCCAGTCGGGCATATGTGACAGGGTGACCGGGAGATGCCTGGAATTCCCCTTCTTCCAGTTTGCAGCGGCCAAGTCACCCAGCAGGACCGCTGCCTCTCACACAGGTAACCAGTGACCCCCCTGTAAAAACCAAGGAGTAGAAGAATATTGTATTTACCTGAAAGAACTTGGTTTTTTGTTTTGTTTTGTTTTCTTTGAGGGTGGGGAGGAGAGGATGGATGGTCACTGAGTTTGGTTGCTGTTGCTGTTTTCAAGATAAATCTCACTGAGATTTCTGAGGATACTATGGTTTCTCATAGAGTTTACTACATCTTAATGAATTAACAAAAACAAATCTCATGAAAAGCAACCAACCAAGCTTCGTAAAGTTCTTGGAACTCTTTAGCGATCTTTTTTTATATACTCACTAGACAAAACTATTTCTCTCCCAGCTCTGCATGGAAAGAGAGCAGTAGGGATTTGTTGGCTCAGGTTTAAGAGCCACGATAAAAAGTACAGACCGCTTCTCCTCCTCTCCCTACCTCTCCTCCCTTCCTCCTTCACCAAATGGAAGCACTAAACTGGAATAATTGTGTTTTCATGGATTTTGGAGCTGGTAACAATTAATCCCCGTGGTGAGATCCAGGGCACAATAAAACCGGAGCAATGCTTCCATGCCTCTTGGCGGGTCCGGGCTGTGCACTGTGAGCTGAGCTCTGCTCTAAGATGGTTCTGCGCACGCATTTGTTTATCTTGTTGATAAATGGCCAAGCACATAGAACTCGATCAAGGTAAAAGCAGCTTGTTTAACATGACCACACCAAAAGAAATCAATATGTAAAATAGCATCTGTCATGAGGGTTTCTGTTACACGTTTCAAAATTATTAAAAGGATAGATTAAAATATGAAAAACTGTGAGTATGTGAGGCGATGGACATGTTAATTAGCTTAATTTAATCATTTGACTATCAAATTATATCCATACATATGGGTATATATGTAATTACATTCATGTATGTATGTATATATATATATATATATATATAATGTTTAAAATTTAAGTAATTAGAAACCCTTTCACTCTCTCTTGGAAGAGGAGAGGTCGCTCAGTGGTGAACAGACTGCATTGCTCTTTCAGAGGTCCTGAGTTCGATCTCCAGCACCCACATCAGGCAGTCCATAACCACCTGCAACTCCAGCCCCGGAGGGATCTCTTATTTCTGCAGACAAAATACTCACATAAGCCTCTGTCCATAGCTAAAAATAAAATTGTGAAAGCGAAGTTGTGGTTTTACAGAGTTATAAGAGGTCATTTGGAGAGAAGAAAAAAACTTCATTCTTAAAACCTCAAAATTTAGCCACAACAGCTAATATCAATAAACTATACCTCCTCCAGATAGAAGATAGCCACTCAAATCGACTTTATTTGGGTTATGTTTCTGGCCCTCTGCCCTTGAAATTAATTAAAGTGTGAAATTCAGCAAATGTCCTTATTTCTTCTGTTACTGTCTTCTGAGATGGTGCTTTTAAGTCAATTGGTAGTTTTAAGTATAACTCTGGTCTTATATGCTAAATCTTATTAAATGAATATCTTCACGAACAATTAGTCTGCAGACTGAGACAACAGTGACTTATCTTTGTAGTCTTTGACAAAACAGAAAGCTGTAGTTTGAGACTTGAGTATCTGTTTTTGTGATTTTCACGTAACATTTGAAGACAAATCCGTTAGGATCGCCAGCGTATCTAGTATTGCGGAAGCACAGCTTCCATCTAATGCCAGAAATCTTTGATTAGCCAAGGACTCCCTGGTGCCCCTCTCCCTCACATTCTCCCAGGACCAGGCAACTATCCATGGGCACCACCAAGCTGTCTCTCAGATCTGGAAATACTCCGAAGGAGCTGTTCATAGACCAGATTTGAGATCTATTTTCTCCGTTTACCTAGCCACCTCAAGCATTTTTAGCTTCTTTTTATCTCTTCTTTTTCTTTTTAAAAATTAAGTCCGATGCTGACTTCTGGGCTACTAGACGGAAGTCTTAGAAATTTACTCTATTACAGGTTGGTCATTATATATATTAAGCTACACACAAAGTACTTTTAATTAAAAGTAGGTATTGAGAGTTTGCCTAGAAATGCAAAAGAAAATCAGTTGGCTTCCTTTCTTTTTGGCATCCATGATATTTAAAAGACTTTTACTCAAGGAATCTTAGTCAACCTCAAGTTCAAGAGCAGGTAAAGAATGTCTGAAAACTATAGACTGGCTGCCCTCTTTGGCTGTGCCTCGTCTAAACGGGATTTGCCTATCTGTGTGCTAGAGTCCACAGGGAAGAGCATGGCTCGAACAAACACATCCGAGTCCACCTTTGAGAACGGATGGATTGTCTCTCGGGTCCCCATCGTAGGTTCTCCCATTGCACGGCGTCCTCTTCCGCTTGCTACTTGCTGATTTAGCAGTGGTCGTCTTGGCGGGTGGTCTTCCTGCTCCTACTTGTCTCTGTTGAAAATTTTTATTCTTTTTTTTGCAGTCAGTGTCCAAAAACTGAAGTTCATGAGTCCCATTTTTTTTTTAAGTGATCTGGGTGAGGCATGAGAATACTCAATAACCATTCATCTGCCAAGTCACAACTAATCTTGCACCATTCTATCTCAGGATGTACACTGTGGACACAAGTGTGTCTCGTCCTCTCAGAAGCAGATTCTAAATCTTATAAACCCTTCTTCTATGAAGAGCAGGAAGGACAGCTGCCTTCTGGAGCTATACCAAAAAAGTTGATTCATTTTTTTTAATGTCATTGATTATAATAATCTTTTAAAGAGATTGATTCTTGCAGCAATTGATCACTCACTAGGATGTGTGTTAAGTATTTATTGTGTTCCAAGAATTGCTGTCCACGCTAGGGATAAAGGTGAGCAAGGGGAAGAAACAACTAATGAAAGAAAGTCCTGCTTTTAGTACGCTGGAATTCCAGGACTAGAGTGAGATGATGCTGGGGAGAGGAGAGCTACACATATACGCCAGGAGATGCCAAGAGATGATGGCGGTATAGAGAGAGAATGTTCCCAAGGGTGTCGTCTTCACTGAAAGAGCAGGTTCAGGGCCGTTCAGTGGAGTTAGCAGGGAATTTTGAATCAAAGATTTATTTTAAATTCCATTCAAAGACAAAAAGCAAAATAAAACAAACCCATGCTTGATCTTTGACTTACGGACATTTGGACATGATTGGTGTGCTTCTCTAATTGTAGAGCGTGACGTGGCGTCTGGAGACGGCAATGCTGTGAGAGAAGAGATTGCTGAAGGGAACGCAGCTCGGCCCTCGGTAATGAAATGGTTAAAGCCGCGCTGAGATTTGCTAAGAGAAGTTTCCACTTCAGTGACCAACATTCATCCACCATTTTAAGAGCTGTCTAGAGCATGGACTATGGACATGTAATTTATGGAGATCAAGTGTGTTTCAGAGAGGATCCAGAAAAAAATATAGGCAATATACAACCCATAACACACATATGACTGAACACTTTAGATATTGTTAAATATTTAAATGTATATAGATCTTTTAAATGTGTGCTTGTGTGTGTGTGTGTGTTTGTGTGTGTGTGTGTGTGTGTGTGTGTGTGTGGTACCACCAAGGAACTAAACATGCAATTGAGGTGGTCTAAAAGTTATTAAGTAAAAGCTGGGGAATCCGTGGGCCCTTTGACTTGGGTGTACATTCTTGTTGAGATACACATCGAAGAGAGAGTTAGGAGCAAGAGAGAATGAGGATGGTGGTGAAGGTTGGGGGTTAGAGCATTTGGCTCTTCCTTATGGTAGCTCAAAATTTTTCATTTCATTTTAATTTGGGGAAACAAACCCAGAAAAGCGTTAAAGAAAGTGAGATACTGGAAACTCCCAGGAGCCTGAGCAACTGTCTTGAATGGAAATCCTATCATTACAGCTGCCTGCATCTGAAGAGAGTGGGGGTGGGGGCGGGCAAAGGATGAATATGTACTCCCACTACTGGGTTAGTCACTGTGGGCCTTAAGAGATCTAGGAAGTAGTTTGCCTCCTGGGGGATAGAACAGGGTGGAGGTGACTATTTATGTATTTTTCTAAGCAAATCTGTTAGTTTAAATATTTCTCCAACACCCATATTTCCCCCATATATTAAGGAAATGACACTAACGTTATTTAAAATGATTAGGAAAAATGTGTATAACATATATGGTTCTCAAACATCCATATATGGAAAACTTGTTACTGATGATTACATTAATATTAATAAGCATACAGTTACTGTAGGCTTATAAAATGTTGAAAAATGAAAAACTATTTTTTCTTTGGTGAAATTCAGATTTAAATCAGAAAATAAATTTTTAGATAATTTGGGAAAGGAGAGTTACTTTTTGCCAGGAAACAAGTTGACTTTAAGATATTGTCTATTCATTTTTTTTTATTCTTTTAAACTTGGTAGATGACTGGAACTGGAATTTCACATGGGAGGACCTTAGCACAAACAGGACTGTTGTACTAGGCGATGCTGGGAAATATTGTAAAAGTATTTTATTTAGAGTGAAGAACTTATTTAAGACTTATTTCATTATTTACTTATATTTTATTCTTGAAGTTGGCCAACAGAGTTGTGAATGTATAGAAGATCTTTGAATGTAAACAGAATCAGCTGTTAGGGCTTTTTTGTTTGTTGAAGAACAATTTATTATTGTTTAATAAAAATGCCACAGTTGTTCCAATTGACTGGTTTCTTTTCAAATTTTACTCAACCAATTCAAGAGTTAATTCACATTAAAGGACAGATGTGTTTCTCCTACCAACAATGGGGGGAGGGGGGAACAGAACATTTCTGTCTTTGGTTCATGTCTTCCCTGTACTCAGACTATGACCCTCCTGAAACGTGGGTACCTATGTATGTGTCCATTTTACTGAATTTTTGTTTCTTCTTCTTCTTCTTCTTCTTCTTCTTCTTCTTCTTCTTCTTCTTCTTCTTCTTCCTTCTTTCCCTTCTCCCCCTCCTCCTCCTTCCCCTTTTCCTTCTTCTTGTTTCCTCCTCCTCCCCCTCCTCCTCTTCTTCCTTCTCCTTCTTTTTCAACTTCTCTCTGTTTCTGTCTTTGTCTCTGTGTCTCTATTGAAAAACAACAAACCCCACATTTTGGTATGTTCTGTTAGGTGTGAAGTTAAGGCTTGGAACAGTAGAATCTAGATTGCTATGTGGTGGCTCCTTCACTGTCACTCAGATACCAAACTTAGCACATATCTTATTTTGTTTTCTGTTCCTTCTTTGAAAGCAGAAAAAATTCCGTGAAACAACCATTATTCCTGATTCAGGTTCTGTGGGGAAATCCCAAATAATTGTCTCCCTTGGCTCTTAACCACTTGAAGATTACAGATCTGCTAATATCAACCCATTTCTGTTTCTCTCAGTTGATTCATCTGCTTGTGTTCTCATAATCAACGCTAGCATTTTATTCTCATTGATCTCCTAGCAGTTTTGAAAGGAGATGTACCTTTTACGATGAAGACAAAGATAGATCTTTTAGTACCCCTGGAAGAAGAGAGAAACCTCTGCATGGAAGAGCAGCACACCCCAAAATGACACATGTGACTCAGCTTGTGGACAAGTTGCAGAAGCATTTGAAGTGAATTGATACAATAGTAGGGAAATAACACCCGTATATTTTAAAAATCCAGTATATTTGAGTTTTTAAATAGTAGAAATTAGGTGTGAATTACATAGAAAGTTACATTTTAAAAAGGGTATTTAGCTGGGCGGTGGTGGCATACACCTTTAATGCAGCACTTGGAAGACAGAGGCAGGCGGATCTCAGTGAGTTCGAGGGCAGCCTATTGTGCAGAAATAATGCCAGGACAGACTCCAAAGCTACACAGAGAACCCTGACTCAAAACAAACAAACAAACAAACAAACAAACAAAACAACAACAAAACCCAAGAAAAAACAATCATAAAGGGGGTATTTATATTCTTACTAAGTTTAAGTAAAAACCACTGAAAATCTTTACTGTCACAACAAGGTTTTATGCTAACTGCTAACGGGGTAAAATGGCTCAGGTTTCTTTTTGACTTGAAGTCTAAGTCCCCAGTTCAGAGGGATAAATGATAGGTATGGAAAAATATCGACAGGCAGATGGACAAATGGAAGCCTGGAAGCATGGGTTGGGTGGAGGGGTGGCTGCATGGATCTGAGGATCATCCTGCCTTCTGTTCCTCCCAGGGCAGGAGCTGTTAAGAGGACCTCCCCGCTTTCATCTGTTAGCAGTAGGCCCTTCTGAGAGCTTTCCACTTTGCCTGTTGGTGTGCAATGTGACTGCAAAAACTAGAAGCCTAAGAAACATCAGTGAACTGGTTGGACATGAAGGGCATCCGTGACAGCACAGATGAGATCGCACACACACACACACACACACACACACACAGAGTATCACTAGGCAAGCAATAATTTTAGGACAGCTTTGCTGGTAGCCTGACTCAACTGTCATTTCTTGTAAAAGGCAATTTGGAAGGGATCTTCTGTTTCCACCGTTTCATTCTTCCATTTACATGGTTATTTAGATAGAGGAAGAGGATGCATAAATGCAATGCGGACCAAAATACTTGGGGTTTTTAAAAATATTTATTTATTTATTATGTATACAATATCCTATCCGTGTGTATGCCTGCAGGCCAGAAGAGACCACCAGACCCCATTACAGATGGTTGTGAGCCACCATATAGCTGCTGGGAATTGAACTCAGGACGTTTGGAAGAGCAGGCAATGCTCTTAACCTCTGAGTCATCTCTCCAGCCCATACTTGGGGTTTTGTAAGGACAGGTAGGAGAACGTGAAAGGAGAACAGAGGTGGGTGACGGGGAGACTCAGGAAGGTATAAGACCATGTGTTCTTATGGATGGAAAGAAAGACATTGAAGAAGTCACGTTATGTGTTACTCAGAGACACAGCTGAGCAGAAACGTCTCAGGAGTTTATGGAGGGGAGGGGATGGAGGCCTCTCTGAATGGTGTGGAAACCTCATGACAGATGGGTGCTGTTTCCAGAAGGCTGTCTGGGAAGGTCAGAAGGCAATAACCTACCACGGGACAGAAGGTTTAGTGACTCGTGTTAGTTTGTTTCTTCCTGTCCTACCCGCTCAGTAACAGAAAGCTGACATGCTACAGGCAGGGTTAGTGATGAGGAATGATGACAGAGATAGACGCCGACTTCCCAGTGAGCTCTGGAAGGCAGGAGATCAGGGTGTGGTCATTTCAGTGAGACGACTCAGTGGAGTCTGCAGAAGAGCTCTGCTTTGGGCCCGGGTGGGTGGTGGACACCTGGAAGGCTTAGTCAGGAGGGCTGTCATGAGTCTGAGGTTCATATGGGCTACATTGGAACAGTATCTCAAGCAAGCAAGCAAGCAAGCAAGCAAGCAAGCAAGCAAGCAAGCAAGCAAATAAGCAAAAACTAAGAAGTCAAAGAGTGCTGCTGTTGTATATTCATTGTCAAAGTTCAAGTCACCTTGCCATACCTAATTTTTGTGCAGAAATATATGCATGGATTAGTCAAGAGATCAGTGATGCTTATTTTATTCTTTGCACCTTTATGCACTGTCTAAAAACATTCTAGAGGTAGGTTCTTGTTTTTAATTGGGAAAGAGAATAAGGTAATCTCTATTTTTGATTATTAAGAATATCATCCTTCAAGAGTTTCGAGATGTGTTTTTATCACCTGGACATTCAACGGTGAACACAGAACTTCGATCCAAGTGAGTGTAGCTCTCTCCTGGAGCAGATATTGTCTCACCAGAAGCGAGCTTGGGAATCCACAGAAAGCACAAATAAAGGTCTTGGGAGCAAAGTGAACTTTTAAAATGACAATCCGCCTCTGCACCTATGCTATCTGCTTCAAGCAGGTGGCTCAGGCCACCAGGGTTTTACAAACCATTTCCTGACACCTGGGGAGATGGTAAATATTTCCTGTTTTTGTTGTGTCTAGAGAAAACAGGAATTAACAACTTGGAAGTGCTCATCAAACACTCACTGTGGATGACCTCTACACGGGCAGTTTTCAGAGCAGGACACCTATTTTCTTAAAATCCACCCAAATGATGTCTCTTAAGAGAAAGGCCACTGTTAGAATAATCTGACCATTGAACTGGAAGGTGGAAGAGAAGCTCTATCAGAGAGGGGAGTGGCACCTAGCAATGTCTGGAATCTAGCTAGACATCCAGCTGTAAACCTTCCTTAGTGTGACTGATGAAGGAGCATTGAGCATCCTGTCTGGGGCCCTGAGCTAATTGCATTGTTAGTTAGCACGTTTTAAAAAGACAATTTTAAAAAGACAATGACCACCTCAGTGTTGTGCAGGAGGACCAGAGCCTAGAAGTTCTGCATCAGAGTGAGTCCACTGTGTTACTTGGAAACTACTGACCTCAGGTTAGCTGCTCAACCTCCATTCTCCTCCACATCCTCTATGTGTAGTGTGGGCAATGGCTTATATCAGTGCTGCACTAACCTCTCTATGTACTCTATAGAACCCGTGGACTCCCTCCATTGTGCCTGCCCTATATCTAACTTCCCGGTACTTGATGGGCATTTGTGTTATTATCAAAGTCAACCCCATTATTTCTTTTAGGTTTAATTTATTCGTTATTACAAGACTGAAACATTTAATGTCTCTTACATATTCCTTCTTCAGTGAATAGAAACTGACTTCGGGACATAATTAAAGCCATCCATTACAGGTTAATAGCTCTGAGTTGAGATTCAGTTGGCACCATTAGAAACTCTCACAATCCAACAAACAAGTGACTATTTTTATAGGCAAATAATAGTGTTTTATTTAGAGTGTCAAACAATTATTAGCATACGACTCTGAAAACAAAACCAAAAAAAGGTACAATGCTTCAGGGGAATGCGAGGGAGCCCTGCAGATGTGGCACAGGTCCCTGCGGGTTATTTTTAGTTTTCTATTCCTGCCTTTTATTTCAGGACTTGGCTGGCTTCCTTTGTAGCTTCCCCTTAGCTTATTCAGAGGATTCTTCCTTATATAATGCATTTCAAGCTCCGGGTAGAAAAGTCCCAGCTCTTAGAGGAAACCAAGGAATGCCGGCCGGTTGGTTCAGGAACTCCTGCCGCTCTTGGCAACAGTGAGGTTCTTGGTTTGAAAATACCATAGGAACTCCCTCACCTTGGGTTACTTTCTAGTTATTTAATACACCCAGAGCTACCGAGTGGATCCGAGGGTAGAGATATGTAGACACCAAAAGCCACTTTCTGATTTCCTTTTTCGTGGCTAATAGGAGGGATTTGAAAACAAGCCCCTTTTCCAGTCGCTTTATATAAACATAACGGCAATACTAGAAATGAGAGTCTGGTGAGTCTGAAACTATTTAATCCTTTATCTGTGAGTCAGGCAACCTCAGAGGAGCGTTCACTGCGCGCCCAACAGTCACGGTGTGAAGATAGTTTCAAGTGACCCATCTTAGTGACCGACCAGCTTAACTGTGACAAATATTCTTCTCTGCAGGTAAACTTCGATTTAGGATGTGTCCAGTTTCAGCTGCATTGTGTTTTGTGGGCATGATGCTTTTGTTTGAATTTATTGGTTGCAAAGAACAGAGCCCCACCTACAAACACAGTGGTTACAGATGGATGGATAGGAAGATATTATTCAGATACAGAAAAGTGGGAAATACTCTCAGGCCTGTTTGCCAATTAAAAAAAAAAAAGGGTGTGGAGGAAGGTTA